TGGTAAACTGAAGACTGCAGGCTGACACAGTGAGCATCTAGTACTCAGCGGTAGCTTTCATTGCATATAAGGGTGTGGGCCTAGAGTGGCCAGATAGTCTGGTTTTTTAAAAGAAGCCAAAAAGTTCACATTTCCTGGCTTTTAAATATAGCAACTCATTCAATTTAAAAAAACAAAAAAAGCAAAAAAAAAAAGCACTGTGAGGGCCAACAAGATTCATCTGTAGGCTGACTCCTGCCCATGGAATGACAGTTTGCAGCCTCTTTCCTAAAAGGTCATCCAGTCCAACTTCCCTTGAACTTGAGACCCCTCTAGAGCCCTGCAGTGGCACAGAGAGGGAGGGGTCCCATCTAGCAGGTGGTTAAGTAAGTGCCTGGTTTGTATCTGTGTGTGGAAGGGTGGAACTTCTGGCCTTCCCATCTGCCCCCTGCCCCCACCAGCCACACTGAAAATGCATTCCAAGCCCAGAGGCAGGGTGTGGCCCCTGCAGCCACAGCAGCCCACTCATAGATGACCCAGGAAGGACCACAATTTTCAGGCCAATAGGGACTGGTTAAGGAGTCCAGCTGAAACGGTAGAAAGAAAAGTGTGTAGAAAGAAAAGCTCTAGAGAAAGCCAGAGAGCAAAACTGTCTTGAGAAGGAATATTGGAAAGGAAAGAAGAACAAAAAGACAAGAAAGAAGAGGAAAAGGTGGGTAGAGGGAGGTAGAAGAGGGTAAAGAGGGGATAAATGGTGATGGAAGGAGACTTGATGGGGTGGTGAACATACAATACAATATACAGATGATGTGTTATAGAACTGTACACCTGAAACCTATATCATTAACCAATGTTACCCCAATAAATTCAATTTTTTAAAAAAGGCAAGAAAGAAGCATGCGCTCACTCTAAAAATCCCATAACCCAAAATATAGCATCCCCGGATCCTAGCCAGCCATAAAAACCAGCAGTCTGGCCACTCACCACCCACTTGGTCTGCTTAATTTTTCTTTACCATATTGACTACTACATGACCTTTTATTTCTGGATGCCCCCACTACACTATACAGTTCCAAGAGAAAGGACGGGGGAGCTTGTCTACTTTGTTTATGGCTCAGTTCCCAGTGCCTGGCACATAGTAGGTGTGCTTAGCAAATATTTGTTGGACAAATGGACTGCAGGCAAGCAGTTGGCACCAAAACAGTTTAGCATTATGTGTCAACCACATAGTAATAACATCAGCACAAAACACCTATCGTTTAACTTAATTCAGCCAGTTTTCTTTTACCAAACTGCTTCGTGGATTTGCTCATGGCCCAAGAGACTACTGGTCTCTGAGGTGGACAGTCCAAGACCCTGCTCTGACAGGGCTGCCTGCACGGCCGCTCGGCCCACTCTCTCTCCAAGCCTGGGAGACAATGCAGCCACAGAACTGCCAGACTCAGCACTAATTGGGCCATGTCATCAAAATGATTCAATGTTCCGGGCCGGGTTCATTCCACCCCACCCCCTTCCTCAACCTGATAGAGAGGCAGCCACAGCATAAGGTTAAAAAGCTTTGGCTCTGAAGTTAGCTTTCCAGCTGCATGACCTTCGCCCTCTCCAAGCCTTGTTAACCTCATCCATCATGTGGGCATAACAATGATAACAGTAACAGTAATTACTTACAAGGGTTCTTGTGCGAGTTCAATGAGATATTTCACAAAGAGCACCCAGCACCGGGCCTGGGGCTTGGCTCAGTGCATCTGAGACGTGGCTATTGCAGCAGCAGCCTCGTCATCAGCCCAGACTCCAGTGTTGCCACTTTCCTGAGTGACTTGACCCCCTCCTCCTAGGACCTCATATTCCTCTTTTCTAACATGGGAAAAACCCAGTCACCAGGATGGATCAGGAAGGGAATAAATGAGATCACGCATGTTAAACAGCACAGATCCTAGTATACAGTCAATGCTTAATAAATGTGAACTGGGATATCTTATAATTCAAGGAACTTTGCTAATTTAAGATGCCTGTGTGAAAACCCACCGAAGGCAGTTTGCCATATGCAAAGAAGTATTTGGGGCATGAGGTTCTGCAACCACTTTATGTTTTAGTTGCTCTAAGAATCAGCACCAGCACCCCAAACACCCACCCACCTTGAGTCTAACTCAGGAAGCATTTGGAGGTCAGTTCCCAGTGCAGGGCTGGCCTTACTTCCTGCCAGCACAGTCTACTTCCCCCTCCCCGCCACCCCCCACCCCACCCCCACCCCCAGCGATGCTGCAGGGTGACGGGAGGGAGAGGCATGCAAATGCGCCCCAGCAATGGCTTGTTATCTTCACGGCCCGGATGGCACGTGTTTGTGGGCACCTGTGAAGACAGCACGTCACTGTCAGGTACAGAGCACATGTCACCAATTTGGAGGAGGCTGTGAAATGTAAAAATACTCAACCCAAATAAAGCCCCCCACCCCCCACCCCCCGCCACCACCAAAAAAAGAAGGCTTCTCCAGCACCTTTTGTAGAGGGAAGAGGTGGTAACTCCACTTCCCAGGCAAGTCTCTGGTGGGCCAGCCCCTGACTAAGGCTTTCATAAGCACTGAAGCCTCAGCAGCCCAGTGATGCGCCTCGGGTACTGGTTTAAAGGGTGATTATACTGTGGAACGACCCCAGAAACTGGTGCTTTCGAGATATGAGCCTGGGAAGGTGAATAGCAAAGGACCAAAGGCAAGGGCCCTCGGAAAAGAAAACAGAAGTCCCCAGTGCAGGTGAGCATTAGTGCTGGGAACACCCCCAGCCCATTTTTCCAGGGCTTGCTTGCCATTTGGCCAAAGGCCTGAGGTCCCCATCTGACAGCATAGCTGCCCACCATGAAGGGAGAAGGAGCCAGTGGTGGGAGAAGGAGAATTCTAAGTAAGCCAAGAAGTGCTATCGACAGCACATTGATCTACAACGTTAATTCACAAGAATGTCATTACCATCAACGCTCATCTTGAAATCATTAGTGGGCATCTATCATGCACCTAATCTAGGTGTTTCAAGTGCAAATGTCTACAATAGGGGCCAAGCAGTTAAGTAAATGAAGGCAGCTGGTGGTAACAAAAGCAAAACCAACAGTGGAAGAAAAATTAAGAATAATAGGGAGGTGTGGGGGCCTGTGGCAAACTGGAAAGAGGAAAGAAGTGAGGGGTCTCGGCGTTCCGTGTAGCTGTTGCCAGGCCAGAACGGGGCACCTGTGAGCAGATCTTCCACGGTTTTAATCAAAGATTAAAATCCAACTTTTTAAGTGACGTGTTGGTTCAAGTTTCTTTTAAAACATTGTGCAGGCCAAACAAAACACATCTGAGAGCCAGATCCAGGATGAAAATGGCCAGTTTGCCACCCCTGGCCAAGCCCCCAGCAGCCCTTCTCTGCAGTTTTTATGGTATTCCTGGGGAGAGCGAGGGCCGAGCAGTAGCTGCATAACATACCCAACTCTCCCCTGCAGGTACCCAAACACCCTTTTCCACGCAAGAGCCCCTCTCTTTGGAATGTCCAGCCCTCCGAGCTCCATCCTAAAGCATGAGCCCCCTCCAGGGTACCTTTGCCTGTGAATGCTCCTCATCAGAACTGCTGAGCACCTGATACTCAGCTGCTTCCCCCGTCCTGTCCCCGACACCTGTCCCCAGCCACCTCTCCCCTCCCACCACTGGCTCCTTCTCCCTTCCAGGTGGGCAGCTATTCTCTCAAGCCTTTGGCCAAATGGCAAGCCCTGGGAAAGTGGGCTGGGGACGTTCCCAGCACTAATGCTCACCTGTGCTGGGAACTTCTGCTTCTCACCAGCCCCCAGGGAAAAGCAGCTCTTCTGCAAGCGAGGCTCATGAGAGCTACAGCTGCAAGGGACCTGAGGAGGGAGTGCTCTGTGTGTGGGTCCCCTGCAAACATCTAAGGCAGACGATATGGGTGGCTGAGGCCAAGCCCAGCTCTGGCAGCTCCTTGAGAAGAAAGGCCTTACCATCCTTCCTCCAAGTTCCCACATTCAGCTGCAGCCTGGGGCCAAGGGTATTAGAGCAATGACATGACTAATGGTAATTTTAAAGATAACGCAATATTAGTGTTCTCTTGTGTGCTTTTCAAAGCATGTGCACAGTTCCATGATCTCCCTTGGTCCTTCCAACACCCCAGAGAGACTGCCAATATATTACTATTACCATTATTATTTTTAAAGACATTGCATTTTTTATTTTATTATTTTTCTCATCCTCACCCAAGGACATGCTTAGAGAGAGGGAGGGAGGGAGGGAGGGAGAAATATCAATGTGAGAAACATCAATAAGTTGCCTTCTGTATGCTCCCCGACTGAGCATCAAACCTACAACCCAGCCCTAACCGGTTTGGCTCCGTGGATAGAGCGTCGGTCTGCGAACTGAAGGGTCCCAGATTCGATTCTGGTCAAGGGCATGTACCTTGGTTGCTGGCACATCCCCAGTAGGGGGTGTGCAAGAGACAGCTGATTGATGTTTCTCTCTCATCAATGTTTCTAACTCTCTATCCCTCTCCCTTCCTCTCTGTAAAAAATCAATAAAATATATATTTTTTTTAAAAAAAACACCAAAAAAAAAACAACCTACAACCCAGGTATGTGCCCTGAGCAGGAATTGAACCAGCAACCTTTTGGTGCACGGGACAACGTTCAACAACTGAGTCACTCCAGCTGGGCCCCATATATTATTATTCATTATTGTTATTAATCACTCTTCCCTTGGCCCCTCAAAGAATCAGAGAAGTTCAACATCCTGTCCTCGCCGGACCTCTCAAACTTTACCATGCCCATGAGTTCCCCAGGGGAATTACTAAAATGCAGACTCTATTTCAGAAGGTCTGGGGTGGAGCCTGAGGCTCTGCATCTCTCACAAGCCACCGGGTTGCACGGATGCTACTGGTCCTCAGGCCCCACGACGAACAGCAATGCCGAAGTCACACAGCGGGTGTGGGGCTAGTCCTGGGACTCGAACCCGGGCGTCCTGCTCCTGGATTCTGCCCGGAAGAACCAGGCTCACTCACCTCACTTTTCACAGGTTGAGGCCTCTTGCCCAGTTTCACCTCCAGGAAATGCAAGGGGGCGATCATGGCCCCGATGTTGCGGATGTCAGCGTATTTCAGCTCCTCTGCAGTCAGGGCCGAGCTGGGGAGTCCGGTCAGGGGGCCGAGCCCTGGCAGAGAGCCCGCAGTCACGGAAGGGTCCGGGATCTGCCCGGGCATCATAGCAGGAGGAGTGGCAGTCCAGCCTGGAGAAGAGGACGCGTGCTGTCAGCCAGAAGAAGTGCTATGAGGGGCTTAAGCCCCCATGTCTTGCCAGGACCTCATCCTGTCTTTCACTAATGTCCCCCTCACCCCTTCCCGTCCCAGTGTCTCTCTCTGCCCTTATTTTGTTACAGAGGGAATCTTAATCCATTAATTCATATCAAGGTTCCCTTGGCACTTAAGGTAATGCTTACTCCAACCATCGGCTCATTGATTCAGCATTCGCCATGTGCTTGGCACTGCATAGTCCGCCTACCAGCCCCATAGGACGGGGGCAGTGCCCATGACACAGAGGAAGAAGCCGGGGCTTAGGAAGATAACTCACTTAAGACTGTGCACAGTTGAAACTGTGAGAGCTGGGATTTAAACCACAACCTACTGCCTCCCAAGAGGGTGGTTTAAAACAGTGGAATCTCAAGCATCTTCGCACCTGTTTAAGAGGGAGCTATTTTGGGCCTGGCACGGTGCCTCCCCTCAAATCACACATCCCGTTCTGCATACTTGTTAAGACACCCTGAATATGAAATGAAGCAAATCGAAGTTAAAGGTGAGTGTGTGCCTCTGGTCTCTATGAGGAGGAGATTGAGGCACAGGAGATGCAATTAATTAGCCTCTGCTTTCCCCAGCGGAGCCCAGTACCAGCAAAGTCCTCCAGGGTCTCCTGTTTCTCAAAGCAAACACGTATTCCGGCTGTGCCAGACCCAAAAGGTTTGCAAGGGAAGACAGATTCAGGCATGAAAGAAAGACAGAAGTTAGACAGGTCAACAGCGTGAGAATTATTTCTTCCCTCTCTTTTCTGGGAGAAGCTTGTGGGTGAGAAGTGGTTACTTCAAGGCACAGCTGACGGTGCAGAAAGCTTGTCATCCAATAAAGCCAGACTTATCTGGTCCCTTTCAGGGCTCCTACCATTCATTCATTCATCCACTTAACCATCCATCCATCCAACTATGAGCAAGAAGGCACATCCTTTCTCCCCATCCTGAGCACCCAGTGTCCCCCAGGCCACCTCAGAAAAGGATCTGAGACTCATTCTCATTAACTTATAGTCTCAGAGCTGGAGGAGGCCCTGTGCTTATCTAAACCACATCCTCCATTTTGCGCATGAGGAAGGCGAAGCTCAGAGAGAGTGAATGACTTGCCAAGGTCACACGGCTAGAACGGGAAAGAGCCAGGGCTGAACTCCTGGGCCCTGGATTTCAGATCCTGCCCTTTCCCTCCTCCTGGGTTCCCAGAGTTAATGCAGAAGGGATGACCTTCTAATAGATGTTCAGACACGAGCCCATAGTGGAGGGTCATTCTCCTGCACAGAGGGCCCTCTACTTTGCCTCCCATTAAGATCCAGGTCTGGGAAGTTCCCTGAATAACCCCATGGCAGTTTGGGTGGGAGCCCAGACATAGAAATGGCCCCTGAGATGCCTCACATGCGACTGATCAATGTGCTGTGACCCTCCCTAAACCTGAGCTGGACTTGAGTCCAGGATTAGGAAGACAGTCTCTCCTCCACCCCCTGGAGCCGGGTCTGCAATGCAGAGGCCCACAGGGTGCCACAGCAGGAGGCTGCTCCAGGGCACGGTGGGTGAGCTGCACGGCTCCCCAGCCTTCCTCCAGGGAAAACAAGAAAAGGGCCAGTGTAAGGACTCATTCCTGTGAGGCAGGAGGATGCCTGGCGGGCAGAAGGAGCTGGTTTTAGGCTACCTGAGCCAAACTGGCAGAGGAAACTCACCTTTCCTTCTCCGAAGAGGAGAAAACCCTACAAAACCCCCTTTTCTAGACCTGAACGGATGCCCCAAGGAGTCACTGACCCCCCAAAAGATGCTTCATTGAGCTAGTCAACACAGACAGGAGGTGTGAGGCTGCAAAATGCTCTGTGCCTGGTGCTTCAGTTGAATACAAACCCCTAAGAAGGGCCGGGGGTGCCATACTCCAGCAAAAACACAGAGCAAAATCCCCTCCGTGGCCAGAAGCCCCGGACCTCCCTGAACTGGAAGGACCCGTTCCTGCGTGGCAGAACGTGCCACGTGGGCACTGAGCAAGTGGAGGGGTGACTTCAGGGGGAAAGCAGCAGTCATGGCTGGTTGACCCACATGACCCCAGCGCGTAGCATCATTTCTGGCATAAAAAAATAATCAACAAAGACTTAGTGAATTGTAAATAAGTGAATGAAGGAAGGAACAAATGAAAAACTCACGGTGGAACAAAATTCAGTGAGCGGGGTCAGGATCTATCTCTGGAAGTCTGGATGCTCGTCACCAACCTCCCGATGATTCGTTCCCACAGTGGACCCCAAGAAAAACACCCCGAGGCTCCTGTGTGTTTCCCTGCCTGAGCCATCTCTGAGAGATGGAAGCCAGACCCCACTCTGTTCCGGGAATGATAGGCTCTGCCTGCAGCTTCTGTTTATTTTCATACAGATGGTATAAATGAGACACTAACAAATGGTCCCAAAATATCTGCTACTGTGAAATCCCCCCTCCGAGAGGGGTAACCACGCTCTGGGAGCAGCAGCCTCATAAATTCTTGCCATTCCTGCTTCCCTGTGAACCCAGCCCAATGACAAGCCTCACTCAGGGGATCAGGCTCCAGGCTTTCCTTTGCAGAAGCAAAAAAAAAAAATAAAAAAATGCCCCTCTCTTTCCTTCCCCCGCAAGGGCGCCCCTCACTGCTCAGATACAAACCACAAAGTCCTTAACACATGCCATTCCTAGGAGACAACCACAACAGCTGACATTCACCAGCCAGAAGTCATCCTAACGGCAGGAGATGGAGGAGGTGGAGCGCCTGCCTCTCATAAGTGGATCCTCATTAACTGGGAAGAGCTGGCTGATGATCCGAGGCTGCAAGGCCACTTTGGTGATATGAAAAATAAAACAATTTGATGTGATTTAGAGATCTATGGGGGGGGAGACAGTGGCGGGGAACCAATAACAGCCAGGAGGAATTCACCCACTTCAAGGAAGACATAGGAAAGATGACAAGAGGTGAAATCATCTCCCAACTGGTTGTTCCATACGGAAACAATTTAGTAGGAAAGGGAGAACTAGGCACTAAAAGCTTTAGGGGAAGAACCCAGAGTTTTTTTTCCCCCCCTTCGGGGCCCAGGAGGTCCAAAAGGCAGATAAACACCCTCCATGTTTCCATTAGTAACTGGGATGCATAAATAAAGAGCAAGTGCTATACATTGGCAGAAGACCAGAATTGGCAAATGAAGCTTCTGCCTCCAAAGACAGGCTGAGAATCCAAGAAGACTTTGGCAATTTGGGACACTGACCAGGAATAACTTGGAAACGAGCCCAGGAAGAAAAACTGGGTAATGGACAGATCAAGATGGGACCGACGAGCAAGGCATGAATAAGACAGAAAGCGTGCAGGAGGTCACCGCGAGAGCTGCTGCTGACCCCCAAGAGCATGAGTGATTTGATGCAGGTCCCTAAAAGCCAGCTTCGGAGAAACAGGGAGCGTGTGGATCGACGGGGAAAGAACCTGGAGACCTGGTATTGGTATCTCTCTATTCTGACTTCCTCAGGGATGGTAGGCACACCGTCAGGGGTGCTGCCTTGTATAAGCAGAAAAGCCAGAAAACATTTCAAGTCCAGAAAATGGACCCTATTGGGAGATATTAACATGAAACATCATTTTTTTTAGCTGAGAGGAAAAAAAGATACAGGTAATTTGAGTTTTCCCCCCCTTTTCTTCTCTTGTTTCACTGTATGTAAATCTATAAAATATCATATTTTTTAAATGGGAGTATCTGCAAATAACAGCCTTGCTTTGGTGGGTCAATTTTTACGAGAAAGTGCCAATAATTGGAATTTCATCTAGAATGGCAAAGATGGATTTAAAAAAAAAAAAAAAAAAGACAGGTTAAGAGACAGTTAGGATCTGCATCATGAAAGTTAGGATCTGTCCATAGAAACAAAAGTTTAAGGGAGGCTTTCAAGTCCCTGGGCCTCTTTGAGAAGGTCAGCTCCGCTCCAGGCAAACAGCTAGCGAGGCGGGCATAAGGGGCCAGGAATGAGTGTGCAAGTGAGTGCAGGGTTCGAAATAGCGGAGGTGAGTGAGGACAGACAAGGAGCGAGGGAGTTAGTCCACAGGATCAGGCCCCAGGAGCACTAGTGGAGTTGGAAGAGCAGGTAGCCAGCCCGGCTGGTGTGGCTCAGTGATTGAGTGCTGACCTATGAACCAGGAGGTCACTGGTTCGATTCCAGGTCAGGGCACGTGCCCCAGTAGTGGGCTCGATCCCCAGTAGGGGGTGTGCAGGAGGCAACTGGTCGATGATGTTTCTCATCAATGTTTCTATCTCTCTCCCTCTAAAAAAATAAAAATTTTATATATACATATATATATATATATATATAGAGAGAGAGAGAGAGAGAGAGAGAGAGAGAGAGCCAGTAGCTAGTACCTGGGAATCACCAATAGCAGGTGGGTGGTCTTGGGAGCCAGAGCGTGGCAAGATTCCCAGGAGGACACTGTGTATGTGTGTGTGTGTGGGGGGGGGGGGAGGGACAGGGGAGACAGTACAGAAAGATGCCAGGCCAGTGATCACAGAACATAGTAATAACTATCATGAATCTTGGAGAATTAAATAGTAAACTTGTTCTTGGAGATAAGGAATTATCTGAGATGATCTCTCTCCTGGAGATGCAGAAGGCAAGGAGCAAATGGGTGGAGAAAGCCCCTGAGAACAAGGACGAGCTGAAAAGGGCCTCTCCAGATGGCTGTCCCAGCTCTACAGGCAGGAGAGTGAGACAGCTTATGGGTGGGAGCTTTGGAGCCAGGTCAGCTCCATGTACAAACTAGCTCTGCCCTCCCTCGCTGTGTGACTGGGGCAAGTTCCCTCACCTCTCCGGGCCTCACCTTCCTCAGCTGTAAAGTGGGAATCATAGTGTGATTGGCCCTGTAAGGATGAAAGTGGTGAAAACTTGGAAAGCACCTGGAACAGTGCCTGCCCCCGTGAGTATGAAGTCAGTGTAGCCACAGGGGCCTTCCTTCCTGAAGGACACACGTGCTGGACGACCCCGCAAGGTCACTTCTAACACTGGTCTCCTTTTCCTACAGCCGTGAAGGGGATCCCCCCAGAGGACTCTCTGCTCCCCCACTTTCCAGCTCTAAACCCCCAGGGGCCAGGACCATCCTGTACCCAGTCGGTTCCTGCAGAATAGAAACAAAGGGGGCAGGTCGGGGCTGTGTACAAGGGTGCAGAACCCGGGCCCAGCACTTGACCTTTGCCCCAGTTTCTCCAAGGTCTCCTCCATCCTACATTCCAGAACACAGCTGCATAGATCGCTGGCACCACCAGCTGGCAGGAGCAGGGGGCCAGCATCCTCTGTGTCCTTCTACCTACTCTATCCTTGTCCTGCTTAGAAGGGGTGGCTCCTCAGATCTGCCTACGAAGAAAAAGAGGGGTGATCGCGGTCAGAAGCCGCTGCCAGGCATGGGCACGCTGGCATGCATGACCCCTGCACAGGCATCCCAGCTGCGGAAGAAACCGGAACCTCTCCCCAGGAAAGGCTCCTCCCAGGAGGCCAGAGAAATGCTTTCAACAAGGCCCTGTCTGTCGGCACAGTCTCCCCTGCCTGGTGTAGTAGGTGTTCAGCAAACACACAGGAAGTTACTTCCGCCAGGAATCCATACCCCGAGCTGCAAGATGAAGCTGGGAAAGCACCGCCACCCGACAAGCCTCTATCCTCTCCTCCCTCTTCGCCCCATCTCTGTTCCTTGGCTGCAGGAGCTCAGAGCATGATACATTGCACAGTCATACACACACAGTGTGTGATAAATCCCTTGGCCCCTTTTTTTAAAAATGCCCCTGGCCCTGCTGAAGCTTTGGAAATGAAGCTCCACGCCTGGAACCCCAAGGGCTGCAGCAAGAAAACAGACTTAAAAAAGCCCCAGAACGGTGGGCTCTGGCCGGGCCTCCCACAGCCAGCAAGGAGTGTAAAGAAACACAGGCCGAAATTCCAACCTGGGTCGCTAAGGCATTTGTCTCCGCTGAGCACCGAGAGGCCAAACCACACACACGCACCAGAGTGCACACACACATACACACACAGGCACACGGAGCTTGGCAGCCCGTAAGTTCCAGAGCTGGTAACACAAGCCACGGAACCGACTGCCAAGACAAGCAACAGAAAGAGCCAGGCCCAGTTTCATTGGCCACCATACGCTGCATATGGCCCGGGACGCAGCCAAAACAGTGTTCTCACCCTCCTCAAAGGCATAGGAGACCCTCTGTTTTCAAACACACCTCCACAGAGCCTTAATTAAAGGAAAATGGAAAAATAATGTGTCTGCTGCTCTCCCCCTGCCTATATAGGTATGCACACACACACATACACACACACACGCATATTCATACACACTCACTCTATGTTTCTCTTCCTCCCATTTCAGTTTCAAACATAATTCATTCGCATGGAAAAAAGCAAACTGCATCCTGCAGCAGAAAAGCAGAAAAGAATGTTGCCTGCCCTCAGCCCTGGCTCTGAGTGCTCCAGTTGAGCTGGGGCTGAATGAATACAGAGCAGGCCAGCCTAGCGTGTGCACTGACCCCTCTCTTCCAGAGCAGAGCTGGAAACAGAAACCCTGGTGAGAGAGACAGCCCATTGCAACACCGGCAGACCCACGACAAACAAGGCCTGGAGCGCCTGGCCCTTCTCATCCTGCCAAGGGTTCTGCAGGTTGGAAAAGATGCCCACACAGCCTGCAAACAGGTGGGGGAGACAGACGCTGGTGGCTGCAAAAGCTAGGCAGTGAGTGAGTGAGTGGGGAGATCCTGGTCCAAACCCTTCCCTAGGGGACACCATTACCACGTATCGACACATCTCCTTAGAAGTGGCTGCAAACAACGTAGGAGAAAAGTCAGAGGCCTCCACACCCATGCCTGCCAGCAGCCTTTCAAATCTCACGGCACCCAGCTCTTCAGGAAGATTCTGGAGCTGCCTGCAGCTCTGAACCAAAGCCAAAGTGGAAGGGGAACAGAAGACTCTTTGAGAAATCCGTCCTCCCTGTTTCAAACAAGGCACAACCTTCACCAGCCAGAGGCACGAGAATAGACCTTGCTTCTCTTCCCAGGTCCTCGGGTTAATCAGAGCCATGCTCACACCTGATACCGGGCTAAACTCTCCCCTAGAAACCTGCAAAGGAAGATCAGGCAGCATTCCAAGCTGCAGCCAGATTTGCTGGAAAGATGAAAGCAATGGGAGGTGTTTTTAAAAACCTTCAGGAAAGGGAGGTTGGGGAGAAGATATGTGAACACAATTCACAGCAAGGCCTTCCAGGACAAGCAGGCACCAGTCGTGGCTCAAAGCTGCTGTTTCTGAGGCTCCTCAAACCTGAGGAGAGCCCACCAACTTGGCTGCACGCACCCTCGGTCGGCAAGCCCCTTTTTTGAGTGACAGGCCTGGGCTCATCTGCATTAAGCACATGTGGTCAGGACACAGCCTGATGCCCTCGATGCCAGTAGGGAGGTCTGCCCACCGGGCCAGGATCAGGCAACCTTGCAAGTGCAGCTGACCCAAAGGGCGAGTTAATTTCCTTTCCACCCGCCTCTTCATTTCCAGCCTCACGCATGGCCCGGCCATCCCAGCAGAGAACCAAGGCCTCCTCATCTTCCCGGTCTCCAGGTCTGGGGTCCTGGC